CGCCATATCAAGTGCCCAAACACTACACTAAAGCTGACGTCACGCCAGAGGTTATAATCATATAATCAATTAAAACATAATTAACAACTAATTATTATATAATTTGCAGAACTTTTTGGCTCTACTTCGAGGGGACGAGGAGTTGGAGAAAAAGGGCAAAAAAGTAGTTAAAAGCGGACCAAATGATCGTATATTTGTATACCTGGATGACCATGGTGGTAATGGTAAGCAAACTATTGTTTTGTTTATAACTTATTATAAAATTATTAAAAATATGTTAATATTGCTGCGTAGAGGTCGTATATTTTCTCGATAGTGTACTCCATGCTAAGGACTTGAATGATAATCTCAAGGCTATGCATAAGGATAATAAGTATAAGGAGCTTGTGTTTTATCTGGCTGCATGTTACGCAGGTATACAATATAATCGTACCTATATAAGTTACTATATAGGCTAAAAATTTAAATATTTGTCATTGCTTTCGAGCAAAGTATAAAGTATTTTTAGCCTATATATAAACCTCAATTTGCTTTCTAACATCAGATATGATAATTTTTTTATAATAGGCTCAATGTTTTATAAAGACTTACCGGCTGATATTAATGTATATGCATTAGCGGGAACTCGGCCTGATGAGTTAGGGTGGTTCAGCAATTGCGAATCATCTAAATACAACACATGTTTATGTAAATATAGATAATCTTGTTTGAATTTAATATGCTGTAATATTTTTTAAAAATTTTAATTTTTAATATTAGCTGTCGCATTTGCAATTATGTGGTTGAATGACACCGATAGTCATGATTTGAATAAGGAAGTATTAAATGATCAATATGAATATCTTAAGAGTAGAGGTGATATTGAGAATCAGCATGCTCAACAATATGGCGACCTGACTATTGCCAAGGAACATGTGTCAATTTATTTAGGTTAGTTTTGATTTAATTATAAAATAATTAGCATTAATTTTTAAATAATATTTAAAAATAATTTTATAGGTGATAAAGTAGTGCCACCTACAGTTAACAATGAAAATCAAGTAGCAAGCTCAATGCCCATACCTGATGCGCCCATTTATTTATTGCAAAATAAAATAAGAAACACAAATGATATTAATCTTAAACAAAAGTTAGTATAAATTATATTTTTTGAAATTATTGATTAACTTTTAAATTTATTTTGAATGTTAGATACGTCGAGGAATTGAATAGTCTATTGAATGGCCGAAAATTAATGGATAAACAGATTGAGGAATACGTGAATGAATTGCCGGGAATTGACGCCAATATCGCATTGAATGGCAAACTAGAGCTCAATAACAGAGATTGCTATCGAAAACTGGTCGACACTTTTAATGATAACTGTTATACATTTGGACGGGTATGATATACAAAAATATTATTAACAATTGAGTTAATATTGATATGTTATTATCGCACGTAATAACAGAATACATACGGAATACAAAAACAGCATATATTTGTGAATATTTGCGAACAAATACGTGACTCGAGTGATGCGGACATTGCTGTCAACCGATTGATACAACACTGCAATAAAAATGTTATGAAAACCAATAATATTATATAAAATTATATTTTTAAATGAAAATTTAAAAATAAATAAATAAGCAGCAACTACTGTAAAATTCCTGAGTTATGTATGGCCTATTGCATGTGAAATCTGTACATAACTGAGAGCGTTCATAACAGAGAATGTGTTCAAAAAATGTTAGAACATAGCCCAAATATGGCAAACTGGCACTTTGGGTTTAATGGTTAAAAATTAATGTATTTAAAAT